AGGTAGAAATTTTTAAAAGGTCTTTATTTTCTATTTCTTTAGAGCTTTAGGATTAAAAGCTACTGTTTTCTTTGTGAGTGTAATTGTTTCCAGTTGATCACCAGAATATTCTGCAGCACTGGAAATGGGTTTATACCTGGAAATAATTTGGAGTGTACTTTATGTGCTCTGGTTTTATTTTAGACCAGGATAAGAATAAATATATGGTTTCTTAGATACAAGATATTGAAAGGCAGGAGGCTGTTACAAAATTCAGTCTATATTTTGTGTTCTGTTTACATCCAGAAATATCCAAAAGCTCCAAGCATTTCTTCATATTTACAGCTTCATAACATTGTTTTTTTTATCTTGCCAGTGAGCATTGTAATTGTTTTGTGTTAAGCAGAGGTATGCATCTGAGAAAGAAAATTCCCTTTGCCAAAATTCCATACATAAATGAACGGAGAAGTGGTGAAATACTCAGCAGCTGGTGCTAGGTCATGCAAGTCCAGATGGAACAAACTTCCTTCACACAATGTCCAGAACATGGTTCTTTATTTTTAGGGAGGTTTGCAGGAAAGCTGATGATGACACATGTTAAAAACAAAGCACAGTTACTTGACTAGTTTGGGCCTACAGAAGCAGGCTTAATAAAATGAGTCTTTGTGCCCAGAGCCATTCAAGGGAGAAGTCAATGTTCGGTGAAAGAGTTGAACTAGAAAGGAAAGTATCTCTGTCAGATGTTACAAACTTTAAAATAATTTTGGGATCTTTTAGCTCAAGTCTTGTCAAGGGAGTTGAAGTGTTTTCTATGTTATGTGCATCCTAGATAGCTTTGGATTTTATTTGACAAGGAACAAGTGCACAAATATATTTTTGAAGAAAAAAGTACAGTGTGAGAATATATCTTAAATATATTTTTTACTCAAGTGAATTACTCAAGTGCAGGATTCTGTAATGGTACATCACAGACCTTGTATTGTTTTGTGTAAACCCTTCACAAAATGCGTTCAAAGGATGATTTGCAAAGAATGTTTCATGTTGTAAACTTTCTGAACAAGCTTTTTCCCCTTTCTACCTCGGTCATGCCATCAGAGGTGGTGGATTTCTGATGGAAAGCTGACCAGATCATTGATACAGAAAACAATGTAAAGTGCAGAGAGAGCAGTCTGTGGCTACACAGACCCAACTAGAATATTGATTTGAGTTTTTGTTGCGGACTTGGTTGTGCTTGGGCTGCAAGCACAGAAGAAAATGATGAATTTCTAAAGTCCAGTTCAGCAGCTGGGTCATTTCTGATCAAATTTCTGAGACACGGATATTACAGTTTTGCCATGGTAAGGTTAGAGAGGATTAAAATTCATCTTTAATGAAACTTGAACACTTTATAATTGCTATTCATTATCATGATAATATTTAATCTTCATATTCACAGTAACCAGCAAGCCTCCTTCCTAGAAATTCTAAATCCTCCATTGTTTTAATAGAAATTGAGACAATTTCAACATTTTCTTCAATTTTGCAACAGACTTTAAAGTGTTCCTTGGGGAAGTTGCCATGACCTCAAACCACTGGGTGATCAAGCCCATCTTTGGATACACTTCAGCGTCTCAATGTCCTTTTTCAAGTGAGGGCACTCAGGAGGATCTACTCCATGACCTGTCCCTCCCCATTCAGAATGTCCTAGGATTCTGGACACCAAAGCTGTATACAGTAAATCTAGGGAATATGCTGATTTATGCAAACAATTTATTTTAATAGAGATGGACAAGGCAGGCAGTAGCACTACAGCTGTGGCTCTAGGTTAGAGAGTGGGAACAAATCTATGAATCAAGAAAAGATGATGTGTTTAGCTTATAAAAATCAGAAGAAAGAAATGTCACTTTTAAACATTGATCAGTCATGTCTAGACTTTAGCAAGAAGGCTTGTGGTGATGACATACTAATATTTTGAGGGCAAAAAACCCAGTTACACTGGTTTAAAACACCATGCGTCATTTTAAAATCTGTCTGGTTTCTTGTTTAGTCTGAAAGCATTTGTGGGAAAAATTAAGAGAAAGTTCTTTGCTTCAGTGGGCACCTGCAGTTACAAACAATGCATAAAGTGTAATTTCAGCACCTCCAGTATAAGATGTGTTGTATATTCTCCAGTGGAATTTATACATATCTGCAGCAAATTTTAGAAGGCAGTCACTTGTAACATGGAGTCTGTTTGAAGCACTCGCTCAGCATTAGGATCTTATTCTTATAAATTGTAAGTTGGACAATCTATTTCATTCTTATTTTCACTGCCTTTGACAGAAGTTGTAGTCTGCTTCCAAGAATTCTGGCAAATAAGTGAAACAATATGAAAGCGTGTTGGTTCTTAAACTTCGGGGGTTTTTCTTGTTTGCTGGAGAAGCCACATGACCTTTGGATTATATTCACAGTGGTGTTTTTGTCTGTTTTGGTAAAGCATCTGGTTTGGTAAGGAAACATTTTTCTGTTCTTAGTAGCCAGAGAGTGCTGGTAATCATGCTGGAGGGTAACTTGCATTTATACTAATTTGGAAAGTTCTTCCCAATGTTGCTCACATTTCAAATATTGCACTAATATTTATTACCTTATTTTAAGGAAACTGTGAAACAGTCATTGTTTAATCTCTTGGAGGAGCCTGTTGTCTTTATCCTCAATCTCTTTATTTATAAATTCCTTCTAGTTTATTTGAAAACACAGACTCTCTGTGTAGCCAGTGGATGTACTCTACTTCAGCTGTTTTCCTCAGCAATCACTAATTGTTGTTGTCTAGTAAAAACTTAAATCTAGAAAGCATGTTTTATACACAGGATCTCCTTGAAATTGGGGAGAATTCTCACCTGTGACATGAGTAGGTTTTAGACATGCACAGGTGGAGAGATTGCTATTGTCAGATCCAGAGTCTCCTCTGGTAGTTAAAAATTTAGCTGTTGGATTTCCCTTTGCATTTCCCAGTCTACAGGGCAGATGTTGGTATAAATTTTAGGCAGCAGACCTGCTAATAATGCATTTTTACAATAAAAAGAATTGTTTTTAAACAATACCAAAGTGCTTCTGTGCCTTTAGTAGGGGATAGGGTTTGGAATGGGCAGTGTGGTGCTTTGTCCAGGAATTCTAGACTCTCAAAAATCTGGGAGATTGTTGTTTCCAGGTGTGGGATGGGGCATCCTTGTAAAGCTGAAAGGCAGTGGCAGCAGCAAGGAGCTCCTGTTAGAACTGGACTTGGCAGATCTGAAGGAGTGTTAAGACTGTAAACTTGAGAGTTTGGACCTTAGGAAGCCTGAGCTGCATGAACAGCCTTAATTTGACCTACCTTCTATGAATAATATGGTTTTAATGGCATATCATGGAAAGGTTTTATTTATTATTAGGCTCTTGCCGCATTCTTTGCATTTTGGTTCATATATGTTGAACAAGGAGCAATTCACAGTTCTGGGGGTTATCTTGTTGAACTGTGGATTCCAGGCTTCATTTATTCACAGACACCCTTCAAACTCTGCAATTCAAAGAGAGCTCTTAATGATTTTTTATTGTCAAACTTTTTAATGATGTTTTTGTTATAGTGTCTGTATATATTGATCATATTACATTATCTTTATAGCAGTCCTGCAAGATTAATAGCAGTATCTTCTTATTTTTAACTGACATGGGATGAAAAACAAAAGGAGATTAGGCCAGTATTATCAAAACCATTGACTAATACTGGATGCTTAACTTGGAATGACGAGGATGTCTTTTCACAGAGTGCTTTTTGATGTTCAGAGCAGTTATTCTCAGATGTAGAAGGGAGTGCTTAGCACTTCTAAGGATACAGACTCACAAGTGTTGAGCTGACTATCTAGAATTTGAAGAATGTAACATGAGAAAACTTTGGTTTTAAAGATTTTCCCAGGATCATAAAAGAAACTGTATATCAGTGACAGAGTTTTAACTGCTGTTCACCTAAGACTACCCAGCTTTTATTGTAGAGGTTCTGAAGATGAATCTGTAGAAAATGTTTGTTTACAACTTACTCTTTGTACTCTTTCCGTCTTTAGCATCTGTCTAGAGGAATGAAGCAATTCTGGAAACTTGAGATTTTAACCTATCTGTTTGGTTCCTTTGGTATCTGCATTGTTTAACAATTCTAGGAATTTATTGTGGGTTTTTTATCATTGTTATTACTTTTAATACATATAAGGGTTATTGCTTTTTTTTTGTCTAAATTCTAGGTTTATAATTTTGCTCTTAAAAATGTACTTGTGATTTTTTAGTGGATGTGACTTTAGCCTTCAAAAAAAGAAAGGAGGGGTACAATATTCCATAAAAGCCATCTCAGGTATCTTCAGCAAACTGATCCTTGAATTTCAGCATACTTTTCCATTGGACAGTATTCATTTAAAAAGGATAAAAGCCCTCACAGTTTCCACTTTGCTGTTGAGCTCTAGTTCTCTGTTCATACTGCTTGTAAAATTTCAGATGTTTACAATGAAGTTCACAGAAGTAATCAATAAATAGGTGAAAAATACTGTTCTTTAATATTCTTTTTAGGAGTGAGTATTGGACAATTTTGCAAGTAGAGGCAAGCGATATATATCTATATTTGATTAGATAAATTATTGGTGAAATAAGTGAAGAAATTAAAAATGTAGAGATATTTTAAGACACAAGAATTTTAGCTTCAGATTCTAACCTTTTATCCAAATGAAATCTGCTTCATGTGTCAATTTATTCCTGTTATTTCCTGTTCAACACTGCAAAGATGCTCTTGAATACTGACTGTATTTAGAGGAATACATTTTCTTTTCACAGTGTTTATTCTCTCCCTTGATGTTTATAGAGCTAAATTTATCTCAGTCTTACCAAGTTCAAGTCATATTAGGTTTTTCCCCATTTTCTTCAAATTTTGCAACCCTGCATGTGGTCAATTTAAAGAAAGTGATCCTTGATAATGTTGAAATATTTTTAATATTTCTGAAAACAGTTGGTGTCACTGCTTACCTGTGTCTTTCTGTTTGCTCCCTTAGTTTTGCCAGCCTGGAGGATGGCAGCTTTCAAAAGAGAGAAAACAGCCAACGTTCTTCGTGGTGGTTTTGACTGACATAGACTCAGAGAGGCACTACTGCTCCTGCTTAACTTTCTATGAAGCAGAGATTAACCTGCAGGTAAGAGATTTACAGTAAGAAACAAAAATGCAGGAAGAAGTGCCTTCAACAAATGGATCAGTGTCATAATGGACAATTTTGCTGTTCCTGCTAAGGGTGCATTTTTCTCTCCTTTTCTGGATACAGAAATCCATGTATTTTTCCAAAAGGTGAGCTTGATGCACTTTTTTGTGTGTTTGAAGTTTTCATCTGCTTTGAAACAAAACAACAACAACAACAACAAAACACCAGTCAAAAACACATCATAGAATTTCTTTTTCTCCTCCACATTTTTCTTTACAGATGGGATAAGCAATATGGTGTTTCTTTCATTTCCTTTCGTCTTTGACATAGCATGGATGAGTCTCAGCCTTGTTCTAGGAAAAGGTTTATTAACTTCTGCTCCCTCTGCTGGCCTGCTCTGTCAGAGCAAATGTGCACAAGGATGCTGTAGTGTACATCCATATTTCTGTAAGTGCATTTATTGGCAAGATTTTAAAAGCTGATGGAATAATTATTCCGTTTTTAGTTGGGTCAGATTTGAGGTGTCAGCTACTTGGCACTGTTTGTTTTTAATTCTTGGCAACCTCAATCTTTCAAAAATAGGCAATTTGTTTCCCATTTGATGTAAAGTGCTTCACAGAATATCTGCTGTGACTTAATAATTGAAATCTTTAGAGTCCAGAACCTAGAGAAAACCTAATCCAATCTGTAATTGCAGACTGCCATTGCTATGTTTTGAAATATCTTCTTTCCTACATGAAAATTTAAAAAATAAGTCAAACCTTGGCACTATAATGGAATTAGTTAACTAAATAGCTGAGTAAAGTAATTTCTTGTTCTTCTAGTGAAGAACTGTATCATTATTGATTATTTTAAGAAAATGTTTTTAATACTTCAAGAGTACTCTGTTCATTTAATACTGGAGTTAAAAGGTTACCCTGTTTGTGGAATAATTGAAAGATGTGTTGTAGTAGTAGTAGTAGTAATAATAATAATAATAATAATAATAATAATAATAATGGTGTGTTTTTTTCTGGGCACAGTTGGAAGCCAGAGAATAATGGTCATTCTCATTTCATTAGTGCTACAGTTTAGTTGGATGTTTTTGTGGACTTTTAGAAGAATTTGAAAGCAGAAATGTACCCCAATATTACATATATTTTATTCTTAAAATTTAGTACTGATCAACTGACAGATTCTTCTTAAAAATTTAATGTCTGTCACATTTCCCTTATAAGTAAAGAGTGACATATATTACAGTAATTCTTTCCCAGCTGATAAAAATTTACAATGGCTGAGTCTTCCTCCACTCTATGTATTTCATAACATAAACTAAATTTAGCAAACTTGTTATTTATCCTGTGGTTTCTAGCAGCTGCTTTTGATTCTCTATGCACATCTTTGAAGTAATGCTCATCACAAAACATCCAGTATTAACTACAAGGGTTTTTTTCTTATATTGCTTAAATATTAATACAAAATAACCCATAGTAAAAAACAATAAAAAACTGAATGCAGCAGGATGTTGGTTCTCATAATGCCATTCCTGGCTGTGTTGTAAAGAATGCATATTTTTCAGATGAACTTGCTGTGGTGAAATTTATTCTATGACTGCATTGTTTATAGCCAAACTTCCTGTTTCTTTCTGAAACCCAAAGAGAATAATTGAATGTGCCCTGTTACTTGGTCACTGGACAAGAATTCAGCACATGTACAATCTGTAATGAAACCTAAGCTCATGGAGCAGTGGGCTATGACAGTAATACTGATTTAATCATTCAGATGCATGCTTAATTAAACAATCTATGAAATGTAGTGCCCAGGACTTGAAATGAAATCTAGACAGTACTTTGCACACTGTTCAATTTTTCCTTAAATTAATGATTTAACTTACTGAGACAAAAGGAAGATTAAATTTCAAAAATAACCCCACAGAACCACATCTTTCCCAGTAGCCTTCACCAGGTAAACTTTGCTGATACATGAGACTGGTTGGAATTCAGCCAGAGCAGCAGATGAGATATTTGGCTTGGCAGAATCATCTTCACAAAAAATAAAAAAATAAAAAATGGAATCAACCACTTGGAAGTTTCTGTGGTTATTTAAACTGGGAATCGAAAACAAACTCATTTCTCAGTCTGTGAATGCTACAAGAGAGCCATCAAACCTTTTTGGAGCCTTCTGCATAATAATACAAACTCTTTGGACACAGTTGAGTCTGAGACAACTCAAGAGAAGACTCAAGTCAAGAAGACTTCTGTTGTTTTGGTTCTGTTGTTTTGGTTCCCTTCAGATCTGCTTCACTTGTTTGTTACAGGATCATTTGTAAATTAGTGCTACCAGAAGTGTCAGGAGTTTGTACTCAGATGGATTACGTAAGTGGTGCCATGATAACCTGGGGTGCAAGATTAATATAGCTGTAAAAACTACACAGTCTGCAGGAAAAAAGTATCCTCTCTGCTATCTCTGAAAGTCCTGGATTCAGTTTAGTCTCTTGGCAGTTGCACGTTGTAAGTTTTCCAGAGGAAGGCATAGGCTCTGGTAATCAATCAGCTGATGGCCTATTTTCAACTTCTTATCCCTGGACAGAAAATAGAATGTTGTTTTCTTTGGTGGCATCTGTGAATCATCCTTTGCATTTTTGCAGTTCTGACTAACCTAGAATTTATTATCTGCATGGGTGCTGGTCAGTTTGATTAGCAATCAGCTCTCAAAATGGTGTGATATAAAAAAAGATTGTTGTTAACTTTAATCTGATTAATATTCCATATCTGTAGGTACAAGTAAGATGAACACACTCCATTAAGTAGGGGAATGGAACTCACTTGATGCTGTGTGATTTCAGGTGATACAGCTTTGCCATGGAGTCCTTCATGAATTGTTCTGGTTTAGGATGCTGGTCTCACTCGTTTGTCCCAGTAACATCTGCTAAAGCTAAACAAGGATATGTTCCTCATCCGGGTTTAAAATGAAGCATTAGAAAGTTTAACAGTAGAATAAATTGGATTGTGGGTACACACTACTAGAGGGCAGTTCAATTCACAGGGATAAAGCTGCTGTCATTTAGAGGCATCCTGGGTATGTTGCAGAGCAGTTCTGAGTGCAAGGTTTCTCTCCCACCTCAAGTTCCTACATGAGTGTAAACAAATCTGAGATACTGCACTGGTTTCTCCTTCCAGCTTCTCGTGTTTCCAGCACATGCTTGGCTTTAGCCAGGTTTCTGTCTGGCTTAAGGTGCTTTTCAGATACTCTAGCAAACAGTAATGGATGCCTCATTCACTTCCATGTATCTGCAGGAATTGGGAGAGTAAATCAAAACATCTCTATTTCCCTTCCTCTCGCAGTGCCTTGAAAGTTGGTTGGGGGGCTTGGGAGGATGTGGAGGTGTGTGATGTTCCCATTGCTGTATTTTGATTGCTTCTGTGGACTTCAAACCTCACAGGTTTGAAATACACTTGAAATATCATTGATTTGGAAAAAACCTTGTCCTATCAGCCAAAAAAGAAAAAGTCTACTTATTTTTCTGACAGCTGAAGCCAGAAGCTGTTGAGCAGCCAAAGGATGTTCAGAAGAACCATAACTTACATCTATAGAATTCACCCATAAAACTCAGTTTCTGTATGCTTGTAGCTTTATTAGTCATCAAAAAAACCCCAAACAGTATACATTTGTATACATATACATGCATACATTAATCAGTTTAGTTCTGTGTGGCGTACACAGTTTGCTAAAATGAGGTTCTTATTTCTAACAGCAATTTCTGCATGTTACCACTTAGCAGACAAGGACTTGATTTAATACTTTTGACTCAGCAGATACTTCTGGTGACCTCAGCTGTGCTTCTTACCAGTTACTCAGTTAGAATTTGTATTAACAATGTTTGGAAGAGCACCACAGATAGAATCTTTTTTAAAAAATGTTGACTCAGATAATTTAGGAACATAATGGTCAATTTGTACATTGCTTTGCACTTGGAAAGAAATTTGCCCTCTCTTCCCAACCCCACCATCAACAAATTAGAGGATGATTTATGCCAGCAATTGAGCCTGTGCAACTGCATTTCTTGCATTACAGAAAATCTGCTCAGTGAGATCAGCACAACACCCCAAACATTTGTTTGTAACAATCTTATTACAAGATTGTCTCGTTCTTATGTCTTATGTCAAGAGTATGTGTGTTAAAATGTGATCACAAATATAGGATTAAATATATCACTCTGGAAAATGGACATAAGTAATAATTCACAGCTCTCCTGTTTCCTGCCATTCACATTCCCTTCCTCTCTCTGCCCTCCCCTGCAAAAAGAGGAAAAAGAACTTGTAAAAATCCCAAACCATAAAATGGCAGATTCACAACATTCACAGATATTTCCTGAGTCAAGGGGAGAACTGCCAACAGAATGATTGTGCTTCATAAAGTTACAATTTTTCAGCTTGGACGGGAGAGTTGGTGATCCTGCTGTGCTAAAGCATATGCTGCTCAATGAGTCACTGATGTTTGGGTTTTACCAGAGGGTGAGAACACTCAGTTCAGCTGTACCTGTGTGGGAAATCTCACCCCCCTTTGGATATTAGATGAGCATGTTCTTCCTAAAATGAAGTTTAATAATTTTTTGTTAGTATTGCAAATGCTTATTTTATTCTGAAAATTTCTTCGTATAGTCAATGCCCCAAAGCACATTTTGTGTAAAAAAAGCCCCAATTTTAAAAGTGATGTTTAGTATGTTGCATCATCATCTTTCTGAATCTACTGAAAAATGGCTGTTTTGACATCATTTAGAGATTTAAGTAATACTTTATTTCCTTTTTATTCTGGTGTAAAGGCCAGGTTGCAGATGATTTTCTATATATGAAACAGACCTGTATTTTAATGTCCTTTTATACATTTAACGTCCTCTTTGGAACCAAATTTAAAGTTGAGAATGGTTGTACAGAGGAAATCATATTTCCATCTTAGTAACTCCAGCAAATGATTTCTCCTGCCCAGTTCATCCCCTGGCTCATGCATTTGCACACACA